GGGCTTCCCCCATGCCAGCCACTGGGTGCTCAGAGTAGGACAGGGCAGTCTGTTTAGGAAGGCTATGGTCTTTGGATCTGGGGCTCCCCCAGTATCCAGGATGGGGTCTAGGGTCTGAGATAGGTTCCCAGGCTTTGGGGTTGGGCCCTGGGATTAAGGGAGGGGCTTCTGAGAATTTTCTGCCTGAGAAACTGCTGAAGTTCATGGATGAAAATCCTGAGGGCCTGGGATCTGAGTGTGGTGTCCCCCAGGCATCTGAGGTTGAGCTCCTGTGACGCAGCTGGCCCTTACCAGTGTGTGAACAGGGGCTGGAGCTGGCGTGCAGTGCTCTGTTGGTTTGGGGAGGGGAGTGGGCCCTGGGCCAAAGTCTAAAGGAAGGCTGGCCCCTGGGCTGAGGCTGGGAACTGGCAGTGTGGGAGGAAACCCACCTACCCCAGGCTGACTTCCTCCTCCTCTTGTCCCCTGACCGCAGGAGGAACAGCAGCGCCTGGCTGAGCTCGCCAAGTCCAACAAGCAGAAACTCTTCTTTGGCTCTCTCACTAGCCGCTTGTGGCCTCGCTCCAAACAGCCCTGATGCTTTGGGCCTCCTCAAACTCACTGCCTGGGTTCAGGGCCTCAGGCCCCAGTGCTCCCAGACCAAGGCTTGGGCAGCCACATGTCCAATAAAGTGCATCCCAGATGGCACAATTCCTGTGTCCGGAGAGTCTCCAGATGGGGCATCAGGGTGAGGTCCGGGACTTGGGTCATCATGCCACAGTGGCCAGCTGACTGCCGAACAGAGCAGAGGCTCTGTAGGATCAGGGCCAGTTTGGGCCTGGCTGTCTGGAAACCTGGGTCTCTGCTCGGCTATCTTCCCATGTGCTGTTTGATCTGCAAAAAGTGTACCTCTCTGGCTCCAGATTCCTCGCATGTGGAGAAAAGCAGAGGATGGGGGTTAAACACAGGTAGCTCCCGTGGAAATAAAGCCAAGTTGAGCCCTGGTGGTCTAGAGATGGCCCACCTCACCTGGACATCTGCTCACCTCCCGCCAGCCGTGGCCCTGGAGCTGTTTGAGCTTCTGGTTTTTCAACAGAAGCCCAAAGTTGGGAGGGATGGATGAGTGGATGGATTGAAGGATCGATGGATTGATTTTTGAGATGCGCTCTCACTGTGTTGCCGAGGCTGGTCTTGAACTCCAGGGCTTGAATGGTCTTCCTGCCTCAGCTTCCAGAGTATCTGGGGCATAAGACTGCTACAGTGCCCGCCCAGAAATGTGGATTTATATTAAATCTCACTGTTGATTGGTTTTCTGCGGTGCTGGGTGAAGCCCAGGGCCTCACACACCAGGCTGAAATTGCCCTGAGATTTAAATAGCCACATGTGTCTCCTGGCCCCCATATTGGCAAGCACGGCTGTGTGAGTTCCTGACTGTTCAAGTGCGGGTGCAAGCTCTGCCACTTCCTGGCAGGCTGTGTGACCCTGGGCAAGTTATTTTACCTCTCGGTGCCTTAGTTTCTGCCTCAGCTTAAAAGCAGAGCCCCTTCTACATAGGCCTGGGGTAGTAGCTGTAGGAATCTAAGGGAGGCACCTCTCCACCTTGGTTTTGTCATCTCTAAAACAGGGGTGTTGGTACCTTAGAGAGGCTGTCAGGAATAGTGACATGAACTGTCCATGGGGTTAAATGGGGCCTGCCCTTAACAGGCCACATGGTTGTCACAGATAGAAATGTGCTGGACCTTTTGGCTTGAAGTGACTTCCTCCCAGCCTCTCTGCTCTGGCTGGCACCTACTGCTAGTACCAACTATTTTTAAAAGATCTTCCTTGATGTTTCTTATAAGAACTAAAAGCACTTGAAATAATGGTCAGCCAGATGCTGAGGGGCACACCTGTGATCTTAGGAGGCTGAGGCTGAAGCAGGAGAATCACAACTTTGAGGCCAGCCCCAGCAATTTAGCAAGAACTTGTCTCAAAAAGGCCTGGGATTAGTGTGGTAGGGCACCCCTAGGTTCAATTAAAAAAAAAAAAAAAGTTCGTGGGCATCTGCAAAGATAAAGTTTGCAAGAACACGCCCAGCCCTGGGTACTGTTTCTAATGCAGGAAGCCGACCCACATCCTCAGGGCTCCCTAGTTTGGAGAAGTTCCTGGATAGAGGAAGGGCCTGCATTTGCTTTGCATGTGGTTTTAAGAAATGAGACAGAATAAGAGGACAAAGCTGCTTCTGTGAGTGAGTGTCCTGGGGGAGCCCCTGGTGGGCTGGGAGCTTGCCCCCAGGTGTGCCTACATCCTATGGAACCTGAGGGCCTTTCCAATTCCCCTGCACCAGTACTTGGAAGGAAGAGGTTTATCCGCCAGCCCCTCCCCTCTGGGGTCAAGAGTGGCTCTGGGACAGCAGCCTTTGGCATTCTGGGTGGCACGTGCTCTTGCAACCATTGGATCTCCCAGACTTGCCGCTCACTTTGGTGCCAGCTCAGCCTCTTGTGCAGTCAGGTGACACTCGCTGAAAGCTGGTGGGGAGGGAGAGGATTTGACCTGCTTGTATGACATGGTGGGACATGATCCTCAAGTGCCCTGGGCACCAGGGGTGCATCGTGTCCTGGGGTCTTCTGATGGACAGCACTGCGTAGCATTAAAGCACCCCAACAGGACCTGCATCTCCGGGTCACGCCTCGGGCTCTGTGACCCTGGCGAGGCCTTAGCCTCTATTTCCTCACCCCAAGGGGTTGATACTGGCTCCTCCCCCTGGCCCCCTGCTGGCCCTGGCTGCAGAAGTGGGCTACAGGGGTGGGGAGCTCCGCCCTCATGGAGCTGGGGTCCCACAGAGAAGATGACAACCCGGTAGTTCTTAGGGATGTTCAATGGATAAAGAAAAATGAACCCGGTGACTCTGGAGGCTGAGGGGGGAGATCCAAAGCTCGGGCAGTTTAGCAAGACTGACGGAAAAGGGCTGGGGTATAGCTCAGTGGGACAGTGCCCTTGGGTTCAGTCCTCAGAAATGAAAAAAAATGTGGGAGAAGCAGGGGCTTGGGGACTTGGAGGGCTACTTTATACTTGAGGGAATGGTCCAGAAAGGCGTCTTGGGAAGGTACAGTTGAGCAGAGCCCAGAACGAAATGAGAAGGAAAGCCCTGGGGACCTCGCGTAGGCCTTAGCCTGTGCACTTCCTTTGCCACCCTCACCTCCTCTAGGTCTCAGCGCACATGTCACCTCAGCAGGCCTTCTGTGGTCTCTAAGGTTAGCACATAAGAAAAAGTCCCAGCCAGGCACAGTGGAGCACAAGAGGCTGAGGCAGGAGGATCTCAAGTTCAAAGCCAGCCTCAGCAGTAGGGAGGCACTAAGCAACTCAGTTGAGACTCTGTCTCTAAATAAAATATAAAATAGGGCTGGGGGTGTGGTTGAATACCCCTGAGTTCAGTCCTTGATGCCAAAAAGTAAGTCCCAAACAGCCAAAAAGATAGTCAGAAATCCTGTAAAGTACATTTCCCACACATGTGCCATGAGTCCCTGAGAAATGCCATAACGCTTAGCACAAACCTGCAATAAGGGCTACTTTAAAAAATTTATTCATTTTTTATGGTGCCAGGAATCCAATCTAGAGCCTTGTATATGAGAGGCAAGTTGTTGTTTTAAGTATTTATTTTAAGTGTTTATTTTTAGTTATAGGTGGACACACTATTTTTTGTGGGGCTGAGGATGAAACCCAGTGCCTCCTGCAGGCAAGGTGAGCACTATTCCTCTGAGCCACAATCTCAGCCCCAGACAATTTTTAATTTTTAAAAATTTTTAGGTATATCAAACCTGGAATCTGTTACTTTCTCAAGTTACCCAGGGCAGAAGTTTGCCATCTCCCACAGCTAATTTCTTTTTTTTTTTTTTTAAGTTGTTGACAGACCTTTATTTTATTTATTCATATGCCGTGCTGAGAATCAAACCTAGGCCTCACACATGCAAGGCAAGTGCGCTATGCTCAGCCCCAGCCCTCCCACAACTAATTCTAATCTTGCCCAAATTCTATGTGAACATCTCCAAGATGGGAGGTTCACTCTCCCACCCGACCCTAATCTGCTGCCCAATAATCTGGGTCCACAAGGTCTGGCTTTTCCCTTTGGGTGGCCACAGAATCTGAGTAGTGAGGATGTGGGACAAGGACTTCAAATGTCAGTCTTAAAGATGCACGAGCCACTGAAGAGTATGCAGGGGAGGACGGGGCCGGGTTTGTGTTCAGAAAGATCCCATGGGCCAGAGTGGTCAGGGCCGGTGGGGCGGCCAGGGCAGAGGGTGGGGCCAGCACAGAGGAATCCCTGGGGGCTGTGGGAGCTCAGAGGCCTGGGCCCTTGAGGAGGCACCCGAGGGCATCCCTCCATCCATAGGGAGGGGGGAAAGAGCGGCAGAATGAGAAGGAGCCTGGACATTGCGTGAGCTGACCCACAGCCTTCTCTGGCTCAGACCCTCCCCTACTCCAGGTCCTCAGGATTAGGAGAAGGTTCTAGATTGGCATTCTTCTATTAATTACAAAATGAGCACTCTGTGTGCCTGACTTTGCTGGCCTCTGGCAGACAATATGCATTTAAATTCAACCTGTATTTCCCCCCGAAAACCATTAGCCTCCAAATTAATTTCCCCTCCTCCGGGAAAAGGAACGAGTTTCCTCCATCCAACGGGCTTTGCCCTGGGCACGGAATGATTATGTCCAGGGCTGGAACATTCGCCCCTAACTGGCGTTTTTTTTGCTGTGGCCCTGGGATACTAAGGGGTTTTGGAGGGTCTGGGGGTGCCCCCACCGCATTCGTCCTGGGGTGGGAGAGCGACTCCTGGCTCCTGGTGCGTGAAGACGAATTTCCTGCCCATTTGCTCCTCACACCTTCCGGAGGCCAAACGGGCAGCCCAGCTGCGGCCGAGGGGGAGGGGCGCGGCCGCCCGGCAGATGGCGGCATTTACATACAGCTGAGAGTTCCCTTTGAGGCTGGGGCTCCTCGCCCTGGCGTCTGGTGCGTCTGGTGATGAGGGGTTTGGGAGGGTGGCTTTGTTATCTGGAGGCGGAACACACACGAGTACCCGCATACAAACACATACACACAGGTCCACAAAGAGCCCCGGATCTTCGTCGTATTCATTCACAGCTACTCCCGGGGGACCTCCCAAACCTAGTCACCCGCCCACACACACCCCTTAGTCATTCACAACCTCATTCACGTCCTCTAGCCCCACACGCACACAGCCAGCTGGAGACACCTGCACAGGACCACAAAGTCCCAGGCTCCTACGACTACACACAATGGTCCAGGATCTCGCATAAAACACATACACACGCGCGGAGAAGCTTGCGCGCAGCCCAGGATCTCAAAACGTGTCACAACCCTGAAGTCGTTTACACTTCTATGCGCCCACTCAGGTGCGTACTCACACTCAGAGAATCTTAGAATTATTTACAGTGTGCAGTTGTGTTACCCATCACAATTGCAGGCACACACTGCACAATCCCATTTAGCCACCGAGTCATGCACGTCCCCCAGTAGCCCTTGTCCCTACACTTACACCCTTAGAACCACGTGCAACCTCACAGACTCAGCGCCGGATTCCCCAGCCCACCCCGACCACACTCAAAATCACGCCCACAAACACACTGCATCGCCGCGCCCATCACACATCGCAATCGTGAAGTTGCTCGGGCTCTGCGACCCTTCCCCTGCCGCCTCTTCCCCTGGATCCCCGGAGCCAGGCGGCTGCCTGAAGGGGCGGGGCCGTCCTCTCGGTTATAAAGCTCCAGAAACCAGCAGCTGCGACTCCCGGGATCCTGGAAAGGCCATGGTCTCTCTGCGGATGTCCCGGGTCCTGTCGGTGATCCTGGCGCTCTTTTGCCTTCCCCAGGTCAGAACACAGCGGAGATGCAATGAACAGGGATAAATGGGGCTGGACGGGGCGACCCACTGGTCTTAGGAGGGGACGCGGGCCGACGGACGCCTGATTCCCCGCGGTCCCCTCACCCAGTGCCCCTTTCCGCCCCTTCCACCCCAGGCACAGCCTGCCGGTGTCTTCGAACTGCAGATCCACTCCTTCGGACCGGGACCAGGCTCAGGGACCCCGCGATCCCCCTGCAGCGCCCGGGGCTCCTGCCGCCTCTTTTTCAGGGTCTGCCTGAAGCCAGGGGTCTCTGACGAGGCCGCCGAGGCCCCCTGCGCCCTGGGCGCCGCGCTCAGCACTCGCGGACCCGTCTACACTGAGCAGCCTGGAGCGCCCGCCACTGACGTGCCGCTGCCCGAGGGCCTCTTGCGCGTGCCCTTCCGAGAGACCTGGCCGGTGAGCCCCTGCCCTGGGCTACTCCCGGTGTTGGGCCTGATCCTGCCACCCAAGCCTTGATCCTCTTCTGTCGTCCAACTTTCAAGACCCTAACCGCATCCCCAGGGCAGCAAATTTCCAGACAAGTAACTACCATCATCATTCTGGGTTCTCAACCCTACTCACTGGGCTTCCTAAATGTTCTGATTCCAACTTGCCCTCTGGGGAGTCCAAATATTCTGACTTCAGCTCTACAGGCTGGGGACCCCAAATTCCCAGAACCCCAAACCCACCTTCTGAAAACCTTACATTCATAGAGCCCTGCTTTTGTTCCTTGGAGTTGCCTAAAATCCAGGATCCTCATCTTTGTCTCCAAATCTCCTTGCACTTAGGGACGCTTCCATGCTCTGTCTTGGGGACACCTATTAATTCTCCAGGATTTAAATTCTAGACCATTGGGGAAAACGACATTCCCTTTTCTAGTCTATTTCCTTAGCTGTAAAGTGGGGTCATTCTGATACTTCAGTGAACCCCTTTTGTGGGACTCAACTAGGGATCTTGAATTAAGTCCTTGCCATACACTGGTTAGCAAGGAGAGCTGACCGTATTGTTCCTTCTCCGTTCCGGTCCTTCTGGGAATTGTCCCTGAAATTGGCCACCACTCTCCACGTCTGGACTTGCCTTCTCTGATTACCTGCTGTGAACTTTCTGTCTTCCTCCCTTTCTACCACCAACAGGGCACCTTCTCCCTCATCATCGAAACCTGGCGAGAGGAGCTGGGGCAGCAGGTTGGAGGTGAGTGTGTTTGTCCTTGGGGCTGTGGTGGGGGCATGGATGTGGGATCCAGGATGGTGACATGAGGTAGTCTGTAAGGTGGAAAGTTCCTGAGACCATGATGTCACTGCTCCTGGGGAGCAGCGCTGTGGGTAACAGCTCCAGGGCTCTGGGCATCTCAAGAATAGAAATGTCCTGGTAGTGAATGTGGAGTCCATTGTCTTAGTAGAGGTTGGGCATTCCTAATCCAAAAATCAGAAATCGGAAATGCTCCAAAATCCAAAACTTTTTTTTTTCCCCCAGGACTGGGCTTGGAAGCCAGTTTCCCACATGCCAGGCAAGCACTCCACCACTGCACGATCCTCCCCAGCCCCTAAAATAAATCCTTTTGGAGAGCTGACATGATGTCATGGGTGTAAAATTCCACATCTGGCCTCATGTGGTGCACTAAAATGCGGGTGCAGTAAAAAAAAAAAAATGCAGGTGCACTTCTGGGCACGGTGGTGCAGGCCTGTAATCCCAGCAGCTCCGGAGGCTGAGGCAAGAGAATTGAAAGTTTAAAGCCAGCCTCAGTTACCTAACGAGGCTCTTAGCAATTTAGCGAGAACTTGTCTCAAAATTTATATATATATAACGTATTCCATGTTCACACTTGAGTCCCTGTCCCAAGATATCTCATTATGTAGATGCAAATATTCCAAAATCCAGAACACTTCTGTCTCAAGGTGCCCCTCCCTTGCCCCTTGGCATTGGTGATCAAACCCAGCATCTCATGTGTGCTAATGCTAAGCAAATGCTCTTATCCCTGAGCTGTGTCTCTAACCCAAAAGCTGTCTCCCGCCCCCCCCCCAGATGCATCTCACCATGTTGCCCAGGTTGGGCTCAAACTCCTGGGATCAAGTGATCCTCCCGCCTCACCCTCCCCAGAGCTGGAACCACGTGCCACTGCACCCAGCTCTTTGAAAATTCTGGCCAAGGCATCCTGCATCAGTATCAGGCAAATGGGAGGAAGCTGTCTTGAACTGAAGCCACCAGAGCAGGACCTAGTATTTCACAGCCTTGCTCTGTCACAACCTGATTCCAAGAACCCAGGATGCAACGGGAGTCACCTCTGGCTCCTCTACGTGCATCTCCATCACCTTGTCCACCTAATGGTCCTGGGGAGCCCCCTGGGGCGCGGCAGCTTCGGCAGGGGGAATACTGGGTTTTGGGACATGGAGTGATCTTACCCTGGCTGGAAACTGTGGCTGTGAAGACCCACTGTGGGGTTCTGTCACCGTTTCGGCATAGAAAGTTCCTGGGGCACAGTGTTGGAGTGTGACACCCTCGTTCCGGGGAAGTGGACAGTCTTCCGCATCCCAAGGTCGGGGGCAATCTGGGTAAACTGATGGTCTAGTAATTGGAGTGTTTGTCACCACGTTAGACATGTTAGGGTCTCATCACTAGTTTAATACACAGAGTGTGGCCGGGGTCGGGTCGCGCCCACTCCAGCTCCTCGCTTCTCCCGCAGGGCCCGCCTGGAGCCTGCTGGCGCGCGTGGCCGGCCGGCGGCGCCTGGCGGCTGGTGGCCCTTGGGCCCGGGACGTGCAGCGCGCGGGCGCCTGGGAGCTGCGCTTCTCCTACCGCGCGCGCTGCGAGCCGCCCGCCGTCGGGGCCGCGTGCACGCGCCAGTGTCGCTCGCGCAGCGCCCCCTCGCGGTGCGGCCCGGGACTGCGACCCTGCGAGCCGTTCGAGGACGAATGCGAAGCCCCAAGTGAGTCTTACCAACCCCATTCAGTGCTCGGGGACACCGACTCCCCCTTGCTTCACTAGCGGGTTCCGATATCCTTCCGCAACCCAGCTACTTCCTTAAGGGAGCTGGGACCCTGGGCCCCTTCCTAGCTCCATTCCTGGTCCTCAGCCCCCTGTCACCATGCACCTAAACTCAGGACCCTAGACATCCCTCCAGCCCTGCCTGGGGACTCCAGTCCCCTTCCCTCTTCCCGGTACCCTTGTTGTCCTAAGTAGGAATTCCACACGCATTTCCAGAGGTGTGCCCCATTTCCTCCCCTAACCCGTACCCACCCCTTTCCTGAGGTTGGGACTCCACCCTCTTCTAATTCTGGGACGCTCCCTAGTTCCACCCAGAAGCGTCAGAAACGTCTCCCAATCACCCCTTCCTCCAGCGCCCCCACTTCCCCCAGAATCTTCCCTCCTCCTTCCCTGAGATTCCAGGCCAGAACTCAGTGGTTTTTTATTTTTTAAAATTATTGATTATTTTTTCCTTGAGGTGCCTGAGGTGGGACCCGGCCTGCTCACGTGCGGAGCCAGTGCTTTATCACGGAGATACATCCCGGGCCCCTCGCTGCTTTTTAAAGCTTGGGATCCCTAACCTCGACCCCGGGGTCCCTCAGACCTTTCCTCAAGTTTCAAAGCACTAGCTAGTCCCTAGGCTTCCAGATAACCTGGAGCTGCCCAAACCTTCCCCCACCCAACACCTTCCCACCTTCCCTGAAAGGCCAGGGGTCCCTCCCAATCCCAGATCCCCACCCTCATTCTCCTCTCCAAGCTCAGACTTGGCAGTACAGAGCCAAGGCCAGCAGCCTGGGTGCCAGTCCTCACTCCACTTCTGGCTGTGCAGCCCAGCTCACCTCTCTGGGCCTCAGTTTTCCTGTCTGTAAACTGGGAGGGTTGTCTGTCTTAAGGATGTGACAGGGTAGTGCACGGGAAGCACTTACAATCTCTGCTTCCCATCCTCTTGCCCTCGACCTTCTCCAACATCGACATTCCTCTTCTCTGCCTCTCCACCCAGCATGTCGGGCAGGCTGCAGCCCAGAGCATGGCTTCTGTGAGCGGCCAGATGAATGCCGGTGCCTGCAGGGCTGGACGGGGCCCCTCTGCACCGTCCCTGTCTCTACCAGCAGCTGCCTCGGCCCTAGGGGCCCATCGTCTGCCACCGCTGGATGCCTGGCGACTGGGCCTGGGCCCTGTGACGGGAACCCGTGTGCCAACGGGGGAAGCTGTAGCGTCAGTATCCCCTCTCCCACCTCCCCCTGATTAGAACTTTACCCTGGGAGTTCCTGAGACCCCTCTCTGGGGAGGAGGTCTGGAAGTAGCCATCAAGGAGGGCTTCCTGGAGGCGTCCAGCCTGCATGGGGCCTTGAAGTAGGTGATGGAGATGGGATCGAGGAGCAAAGACTGAGCGGAGGTACCGAAAGGTGGGAGTGGGAAGGAGGAGTGTGTGGGGCCACGGGCGTGGAGGTCCGGGGCTCCTGGAAGACGGAGTGAAGAGGTCAGAGGCTTCCTGGGCTAGCGCTTGAGAAGCATGGTTTGGCGGAGGGGTGGCCCAGTGAGTGGAGGAAGCAAAAGCACAAAAAGTGGGAATGAGCTTGGTGTCTGTACTTGGGCAACCTAGAGCCACTGCCACCCTGGGACGGTTAGGGGGATCACCCGGGAATAGATGGGGAGCAGCCCTCATGGAGGAGGTGGGCTCAGAGCTAGGACCTCAAAGTACTATTTGTGCACGCGGATGGATTCCGGAGCAGGCGGGCACAGAGCATTTGGAGGGGCAAAGGTATAGCCGTGGGAATGAGTGCGCAGGGTGACAGAGTGGACAAGGGACTGTCTGGGGAGGACTCCCAGGCAAGGACCCTGAATACTGGAGCTTGGGGCAGGACAAAGAACAGCCCCAATGGTTACGACTCCGGAGAGGGATGGGGTTTTGCCTCGAGAACCCTCCTGTTCAAAGCCCTCTTGCCCCTGCCAGGAGACACCCGGGTCCTTCGAGTGTGCCTGCCCCCGCGGGTTCTACGGCTTGCGGTGCGAGGTGAGCGGGGTGACCTGTGCGGATGGACCCTGCTTCAATGGTGGCTTGTGTGTTGGGGGTGCAGACCCCGATTCTGCCTATGTCTGCCACTGCCCACCTGGTTTCCAAGGCTCCAACTGTGAGAAGAGGGTGGACCGGTGCAGCCTGCAGCCGTGCCAGAATGGTAAGGCTGCGAGGCCAGAATGGCAGGGGATGGACATGGGGGCGGGAGGTCCCTGCATGGCTCAGATGGTCCTGGGTGACAATCCTGTCTATTCTGTAGCCTCAGTGTTTGGGCTCCTCCCTTTGCCCAGCCACTGTGTTCTGTAAAATGGGCAAGGAGATAGTCCCTATCTTATATTTAATTGTCAGGCGTCAATCTAGGCACTGCAGATTACAGCAGGGAAATATTCCTCGCCCCCTTGATGTGGTAGGAATGTGCCTGTCCTGTCGCGGACCAGCAGGGAGGCCAGTGGGGTTGGAACAGTGAGCAGAGAACAGTGGTGAGAGACTGACGCCAGGCAGGTGATGGTATTAGATCCTGTGGGACCTTCTGGGCAGCAGGAAGGGAGACTCTTGCTTTTACTTTGAGGTGGAGCCGCCACAGGAAGGTTCTGAAAGGGGACAGACCTGATCCCGGTTAAAAGATTAGAAGAGATCATGAATGTCAAGCGCCTGGCATGAAGTGTGCCTGGCACACTCTTAATGGAATGATTATGTCCGAAATAATGTGTGTTCACTCTGGCCACAGCAGTGTCCAGGCCATCTCTTGGGCTCTGCCAGTGGCTGCCTGAGCCCCTCACCCTCTGCCTATCCTCAGAGGGCCCCGAGAGGTCAGGGCTATGGGAAGGGGGCACAGGGCACAGTGATGGGGCTGGGATGGAGGAAGAGTTGGGAAGGGTTTTCCACGCGGGAGGGAAAAGAGGAAGGGCAGTCCTGGCGGAAGGTGCGGCCCAGGCCGGTTAACATGAGTCGAGGTGAGAACGGGGGAGACCCTGAGGGCTAAAGGGTGAGGCTGCGGGAGTCCAGGACTTCGGAATCGAAGCGCGCTGGTTTCCCCGGCAAACCGAGCCTGACCTTTGTGTAAGGGAACGGGGCACCCAGGGCGGCGACAGGGAGCAGAGAAACTGGGCGGGCGGGCTGCGCCGCTGACGCCCGCTTCCCCGCAGGCGGGCTCTGTCTGGACCTGGGACACTCCCTGCGCTGCCGCTGCCGCGCGGGCTTCGCGGGTCCGCGCTGCGAGCACGACCTGGACGACTGCGCGGGCCGCGCCTGCGCCAACGGCGGCACGTGTGTGGAGGGCGGCGGCGCGCGCCGCTGCTCCTGCGCGCTGGGCTTTGGTGGCCGCGACTGCCGCGAGCGCGCGGACCCCTGCGCCGCGCGCCCCTGCGCTCACGGCGGCCGCTGCTACGCCCACTTCTCCGGCCTCGTCTGCGCCTGCGCGCCGGGCTACATGGGCGCGCGCTGCGAGTTCCCGGTTCACCCCGACGGCGCGGACGAGGGGGTAGCGGCCCGGCCCAGCCTGAGGCAATCGGACCCGCAGCGCTTCCTTCTGCCGCCAGCTTTGGGACTGCTGGTGGCCGCGGGCTTGGCTGGCGCTGCACTCTTACTGATCCACGTGCGCCGCCGTGGCCCTGGTCGGGATACTGGGTCTCGCTTGCTGGCGGGATCCCCGGAGCCATCGGTCCACGCGCTACCCGATGCACTCAACAACCTGAGGACGGCGGAGGGCTCGGGGGACGGCCCCAGGTGAGGGCCGCCGAAGGATGCTTTGTCGCTATTGGTTGCGTGCATCCATCCCCACCGTGCAATTGGTCTGAGTCTTTGGTGCATCTTCCTGATTGGCTCGTACCCCTCTAGCCCTCTTCGGATTGGGTAGTTCCGGAATTCCCCCTCGTTGACCGCGGGTTCCTGTCCTTGATTGGTGGGGGAAACAAGATTTGAGAATTTAGAGGGATTTGGTCTTTCCTTCTTTCCTTCCTCCTACAGTTCGTCAGTAGATTGGAATCACCCCGAAGATGGAGACTCTCGATCAATTTATGTCATATCTGCTCCTTCGATGTATGCTCGGGAGGTAGCTACGCCCTTTGTCCTCACTGCCCACACGCTGGGAAAGGCAGCCCTGATTTTTCTCTAGTTCTCTGATTTTCTCTAATTCTGTCTGCGAAACAGGACAGAGCTTCTGCAAGGTCTCTAAGCCTGCCGTTCAGTTCTGGCTTAATTCTGTTCTGCATTCCTCTTGCTGTTGTTTGGGTTCCTTGGCCACTTCCTTGGAAGGCCCGTGGGCTCAAGAGGTCACAGTGGAGACCCTCAACCAGAGCTGCTTCTGGGGAGAGGGGTGGCGGAGGGGCAGCCCTTCTAATGCTTCTTACTCCTTTCCTTTTCTAGACCTGAACTGCCCCTTCTCCATCAGAGCCCGGATGTTGATACTTGCTTGCTAGTGGCCAATCTTGCCCCAGACATTTTGGAGTGCATGTTGGAAGGAGCGGCTGGGAGAACTGGACTGTTGGCAGTTGTACATAATGGTTATTTATATCCTGTTATTTTCTCTCCCCATCTTTCCAGAAATGTCTATAAAGGCTCTTATTTTGATCAAATATCTCAGGCTGAGTGCTTTATATTTGGTGTTAGAACTGAGGGGAGGAGAGATTCGACTCTCTTTGAGAATAATGGAATTCTTTATGTTGCAGAAATCAGAAACCACACAAATTGATTTAAATTTTTAAAATAACATTGTTAAAACACAAAATTACAACAAATCTGGTTTTATAGATCTTTACTGGATTTATTTGTGACTGAATTAGGTAGCCGTCTTTATCAAAAATGGTTCAGAAAACTCCCTTCCACCACATAGGCAGGTTGTAACTTTTTTGTTTGTTTGGTACCAGGGATTGAACCCAGGAGTGCTTAACCACTGAGCCACATCCCCAGCCCTTTATTTTTATTTAGAGACCAGGTCTTTCTGAATTACTTAGCATCTTTCTAAATTGCTGAGGCTGGCTTTGAACTTGCAATCCTCCTCCCTCAGCCTCCTGAGCCCAGATTACAGGCTTATGTCACTGAGCCACACTGCAGGTTATAATTTATCCTCAGGAAGTGATATACAGAAACAAGAAGTGAGGTAGACAGACAGACACTGGTTACAGCTAAGTGTCTGTCTTATTTGAACATTTGAATAGTTGGCTACTTGTGATTGGCTAAGACTCACCTACTTGTCACAATGGTAGGTACACTCTGCACATCAAATTAAATTGTAGCTTACTATGTAAGGATGCCACTTTTGGTCAAGCAATTCAAATTAACAGTTCATAAAAAATAAATAATCCTGTAGTGGCTTCAAGTAGGGCTAGACTCCAGCTCAGTGTCTTTTCCAATTGGCTCTTTATGTATGTGTGTGTGTCAGGGGACAGGTACTGGGGATTGAACCCAGGGATGCTTTACCACTGAGCTACAACCACAGAGCTGCTTTTTTTTTTTTTTTTTTAATTTTGAGACAGAGTCCCGCTAAGTTGCAGAGGCTTCCCTCAAACTTGTGATCTTGCTGCCTTAGCCTCCCAGAGTCACAGGGATTACTGGCGTGTGCAAGCACGCCCTACTCCAGTGGCTCTCTTTACCCCTGAATTGCCTTCGTAGGTAGATACACCTCCGTAGGTCCTGGCTTGTCATAAGACCATCACTGAACAAGTTGCTAAGCAGCCTGACGTACTCTGATTAATCAGGCTTGTCATCTCCTTGCTGTGTGAAAGGGCGTCAAGCTGGCCTGCCCAAATCCCATGGAGTACGTGGGAAAGGGTACCACCCCAAGTTAGGGTTCCTTACTAGAAATGAGCACTGTGCCAGGAGGCAGACCAACAGAGCTGCCTTATGAGAAATGCTGAAGAAGTTTTTCAGGTTGGAGGCAAGTAAGACGAATGCAAATCCATGCCAGACAGCAGAGCACTGGCAGAGGAAGCGATGTCACTATAACCATAATCACACACGCGTATTTCTTTCCCTTTCATCTGGTTTAAAAAGCAGTTGTATAAGCGGAATCCTCTGGACTTAATTAAAAAAAATAAATAAATGAATTAAAAATCTTATTCTTGAACCTCTAAAACCCTGAACCAAAATGAACCTCCCTTTGCTTCCCCTGTCAGGTATTTCATGATAGTGACACAAAACTGACTGATACAGGAGCGTTGGCAGAGGGGCCTGATGGGAGCTATTGATCAGGAGCACTTGCTATGGTTTGGAAGTGGTTTCTCCTCCAAAGGTTCATTGGTCCCCAGTGTGGTGTAATTTGGGGCCACTGGTGAGGGTGGCACATCATGGCAGCCTTGTACAGGATCAACTGCTCACATTGAAAGCTAGGAAGCAGAGACCGTGAGACCCGAGGTTCTACCATCCCCTTGGAGGGCACACCCCCAGTGATCTGAGGACCTCCCACTAGGCCCCACCTCTTAAGTCCCTACCATCTCCCTACCAGGCTACCTGGGGACCAGTTCTTTTAACACACGGACCTCTGGAGGACACCGGTCCAAACCAGAGAAACTTGCATCGCAATTAACATATGCTTTTTTGGGTGGTGGTGGGGCACAGTCAAACTCAGCTATTGTTTTATGCAGTTCACAAAATCTGACTATTCCAATTTGTGTTACGTTTAGCAACAAAATGTTTGAAATAAAAGTATGGCTAATTGTCCCATTGTCTGTTGCTATGGATACTGCTGCATGAACTCAGTGGCATGAAACACTACTCCAGAGGCTGCAGGTTGACTGGGCTTCCATTGCTCTGGGCTGGGCTGATGTGGGAGGGCCCCAGGAATTTGAGCCTGGTGGGTGGGGGTGGGGGGGGCTCTCACCCTCTGGCAGGCTGGCTCTGGTTTGTTCTCCTGGCCAAGACAGGGGTCTAAGAGAGAAAGAGGACTCCGCTGAACATCTTCACTTCACCTGTGTCCTGTCAATCAAAGCCAGTCACAAGGCCAGGGGTGGGGAAATGGATTCCACTTCTTGAGGGGAGAAGGACAGAGTCCCATTTCTAAGGGTATGGATGGGGAAGGGGGTATTTTTGCCCTCCGTCTCCAACACTGAACACCTTCCCCTTGGGAGGGAAAGCCATCCAGATTGTTGGTACAGATGCCCTTTACTGAAAACAAACAAAACAAGCAACAAAACAAAAAAACCCTAAACTCCAAAAACCAAGCTAGTAGTCGGGATCCCTCTAAGACAGGTAAGAACCCAGTCCTTGGCAAACCGTAGGAGCCGGCCTGGCAATGCTAGTGTCACCTCCAGTGTTCTGGTGGGAATAAAGGGAAAGTGCTAATACTTTGACTTGTCCCTGTTTCTCATGTCCTGAGACTTCCTTCCAAATGAGATGGAACAAAACTAGCCAAAAGGGCTAGTCGTGCCAGACTGAACCCAATAATTGTTCAGAACCTGGTGCATCAGGACTTAAAGGCGTCTGCATCCAGGGCAGCTCCTGGCATTTATATATATATGTGACTAGTAGAAAGGGGGTAATCTTCCCTAATTTGGGGAATGTCCTAAGACAGTTCATGACACTCCTAATGCTGTTTGTATGCTTGAAAAAGCCTACATGGGTACAGATATGAGTACATGGGCTCAGATCTTGGTTCTGCCACTTGCTAGGATGAGCCACTTCACTTCTTTGTGCCTTTATTTCTTTATCTGTAAAGTGGGAAAATAGAATCTGCTTCATAAAGTTGGGTGGATTAATGAACAAGTGCAAGGTTTTATAACAGAGCCTGGACTGTAACAAATACTCAATTAATGTTAACTCTCTATTATGCTATGAGGAAAAACAACTTCACAGAGGGGAAACTGAAGGCCAGAGAAGGGTCGAGACTCACCTGGCATCAAACAAAATTAAGTGTCTTTCCTGGTTTTTGAGACCCAGACCCAAATTTTAGCACCTGGAGGTTGGGCGGGTCGTGCCTCTCCCCTCCTCAGAACCCTTCCGTCTGAAGCAAGTCCAACCTAACCGTATTGTACTAGTGTCAATATCTTGGTTCCAACCATGTATCATGGGTCCACAAGGTATTACTATTGTAGAAAATGGGAATTACACAGGAATTTTGTGTCCTACTAATCCAATTTCTTATGTTAAACTATTTCTAAATAAAAATGTTATATATATTTGAATTGCAGAATTACATATTATAAAAGATTGTGCACTTGCAGACATGTGCAAACTTTGTAAAGAGCATGCAGGGGTGTGGCTGCCAAGTTCAGGGCCCAAAATCACCCTCAGGATTGATAATCCGATGGAAGGATTGACCCTCTGGGTCAGTTGTGGTGCATCACAGAGGAAGTATAGGGATTAAAGTCATCAAAGGAAGAGGGGCAGAGTCCAGGGGAGTCCCTACTATGAGCGTCTGGGAGTCCTGGTTGGGGAGTCACAGTTGGCATGACTTCCCCAGGAGACAGTGAGATGGGCATGTGCCTTGCTAGCCAGCGGGGTGCGCCTGGAGCTTTAGGGTCTACAGTTTTTATAGGGGCTTAGTCAAGTAGGTGTGGTCGACAGTCCAAGTGGCTGACCTTAGGAGTTGCCAGCACTTCCCAAGGTTGAGGTGACAGTGTGGCCCAAGACCCTACCATCAGTCACACTGTTAGCACAGACTGGTTTGGTTCAAGGCTCCAGCTTAACTACACAATGTTCTTAGGAAGGACATTCCAAGGGCTTAGAGATCATTCCCAGGAGCCAAGGGCAAGGCCAGACTCTCTTTGGACAAGGTTAATCACTTACTGCACCATGTATTAGCTAAAAAGCCTCCCAGGCCTCCATGTCCTCAGTGGCCACTGCTCTCTGCTCCCCGTGGTGCCTGGGCTTCAGCCCTGTGAGCCACTGTTCACTCCTAGAACAAGCCAGGATTCCCCTCTGCCTCCAGCTTTACCTCCTTAACTCCTATTCCTTGTGTCTTTCATTAGTTCCACATTTATTGAGCACCTCCTGTGTACTGGGCCTTGATCTAGGAGTTGGGGACTGAACAAGATAGACAAATCCTCACCCTGAACAGTGCTCAGTGAGAGTCCTTCTCAGAGTGTGGAGGCCACAGGACCCTGGAGCCACCAGCTTGGGTTTGAATCCTGCCTCTGCTACTCATCAGTCTGCGTGATGCCTAGATTTAGTCCTGGGTAATGATAATTCTGCGTGGTGGTTTTCACCAGTTTTCTTGAGCGCTCCAGTTGTTGCTTTTTCCTCGGAAGCCCTCTCTGATGGCTGAGACTGGTTGCACCTGGGCTGCCACTCTGATGGACAGGGACCAGGGCTTTCCTGATCCCTCCTCTGTCCCTAGAATCACCCAGCACAGAACAGGCACTCTCAGTAAACCTATGCCCAACACAGGAATGTCAACAGCAGCTGCGGGATGTACTGGTTTCTTACCCTGACCGTGGCCACCCAAGGGGTGGGAGAGCTGGAGGTCGCGCCATACCCCAGGCCTCGGTCTGTAGAACCTCCGCCCGAGTGGAACTCGGTGTAACAGTGCCTCCGTGTGGGCACCTCTCATTTTAGAACCCTGGTGCGGAGATGCTCTCTTCCCCGAAGGAAGCGGGGTGGGGCGGGACTCAGGACCCGGGTGACCCGGGTTACCCGGGTCCCACACCGTCCCCATGAACAACCAGGCGGGGGCCCCAGCCCCCTCCCCAACCCGGCCCTCCACCCTGGTCAGGGCTTCGACCCGAACCCCAACCCCAACCCGAACCCCGAACCCAGTCCGGATGTCGACCCCTGTCCAGATCCCGACTCCAGTCGGAACCCAGGCCCCGATCCGGGCCGTGATCCCAGTCCGAACCTCCATCCAGTCCCGGGCACCGAACCCAGTTCGGACCCAGGCTCCGGTCCGGTTCTCAGCTCCGACCTCAGCTTCGGCCCCAGCCCCAGCCCCAGCCCGGGTCCCGACCCCAGCTCCAGCCCCAGCCCCAACCCAGATCCCCACCCGGACTCCGGTCCCGACCCCAGTTGCAGCCCCAGCCCCGGTCCCGACCCGGACTCCGGCCCCTAACCCAGCTGTAGCCCCAGCCCCAGCCAAGATCCCGACCCGGGCTCCGGTCCCGAACTCAGCCAGGGTCCCGACCCGGACTCCGGTCCCGAACCCAGCCCCAACCCCAGCTCCAGCCCCAGCACCGTCCTGGGTCCGGGCCCCGATCCCCGCCGCGGTTCCGGCTAAGGAATCGCCCGCGACCCCAGCCCTACATTTGGATCCGCCCGCAGAACCTGCTCTAGAGTCTCCGGCCGAGACTCCAGCGCCCACGCCGGACCCAAAGCACTTCCCATCCTTCAGCAGCCTCGCAGGGTCCGTCCCGGGACCCTTTCCCGCGCCCACTCCTCTGGCCTGTAACGTACAGAGATCCACTGCGAAGGCAGACCTAGCAGCCACCCAGTCAACGGATCCCCCCGCTTCTGGACCCATCCCGGGGACCAGCCGGCTGTCCATCTCCATTTCTACTAACGCAGTCGCCTCCACCAACGAGAACTTCCAAATGGGGAACAAGATCTTGATTCGAGTGACCTACTGGTGAGGGACGCGCCTGCCCACACCGGCCTTCCTCCCCACGCAGGGCTGGGTCGGGGAGGCTCGGGGCTGTGGGGGTGGAGCTCCCGGGCTGGGCGAGGAGGAGGAGTCAGGTGGAGCCCCAAAGTACCCAGACTCCCCCAACCCCGCAGTGGGCTTAGCCCCGCCCATCCTCGTGTTTGGGGCGGGTTCAAACTCCTGCTCGGGCTCTGAGCTTCATCCGTTCATTTTTATTCATTCATTCATTCATTCATTCATTCGTGTGATTTCTGCCTCGTGGCTGCTTCTTGCCTCTCATCCTTTGTCACTCACTTCCCAGCGCTCTGCCTGCCGCGAGCCAGGCCTGCGCTGGGAAGACGGTGCTGAGCATCGGGACTCGTTCGGCTCCCTTAGCGCGAGGTCTGGCGGTGCAGCCCAAAGCCAGGGTGCACGGAGATGAGCTCCCTGAGGGAGGACAAGGGGTTAGCGCACTTTAGGACTGCGCGCTCAGGAACACCCCTTTTCAGGAGGTGACTCTTGAGCTGACACTCCACACTTAGGAGGAGGCGACGGCAAGTGTAGCGTGGGGGAGGGGTAGTCAAGGTCGCCGGAGCAGCCAGTGCGAAGTCTGGAGGGGGCTGGAGGCCGTGCGGAGGCCTAAGCCTCTCTTTGAATCAACAATGAGAACAAAAATAACAGTAATGACTTTCCTTGACCTCCTCTGGGGCCCAGGGCTGAATGCAGCTCAGACAGTCTTCCGTTCTGATCCCGGTGCGGCTTCTGCCCCAGGCCTCTTTGCACCTTGTCTTTCCCTGTCTCTCCTCTTCTTGTCTCTGCCCCGTGTCTGTCTCTCTCCCAACTCGCTGTGGCTCTTTTTCCTGTGGCATGTGCCTTTCCTCTTCCCCAGTTCGACTGGTTCCTTGTCTCCTGTGCTCTTCTCGCCCCAGCTTCTCCTCTCTACCGGTTTCTCTGACTCCATGGGTTCATTAATTCACTCATCCAACAACCAATTTCTTGGGTACTTACCCTGCCTCAGGCGTGGTTTGTACCATCAGGGCTACAGGAGCCAACAAGACCAGGGTCCCTGTCTTGGTGCTGCTGGCATGCTGGGGTGGAGAGGAGACAATAAAGCATAAATAGGACCCACAAGGGACCAGTGCCATGGATAAAAGGCATCTTTGGTGTTGCAGTGTTGTGGTGGTGGTGGTGGTTACAAGGAATTGAACCCAGGGGCACTTCACCACTGAGCCACGTCCCCAGTCCTTTTTTTTTTTTTGTATTTTATTTAGAGACAGGGTCTCCCTGAGTTGCTTAGGGCCTCGCTAAGTTACTGAGGCTGGCTTTGAACTTGCAATCCTCCTGCCTCAGCCTTCTGAGCTGCTGGGATTACAGGTGTGCATCACCATGTCTGGTTTGGGGGTTGCCGTTTTAGCTGGCGAGGTCAGGAAGGCTCACTGAGAAGCTGATAGAGTAAAGACCTGAGGAGGGGAAGAGAAGGAGCCAGCTGGGCACTAGAGGAGCATTCTGCAGAGAGAAGCACAGTGGGTGCCTGGTGTCAGAAGCCCAGCTAGGGGGCCTCTGGGCAGAACAGGGTGAATAGTGTAGGACAGAGGGGGAGGAGGTGGGGCAGAGGGATGACAGGACAGGTCATGAGGCAACTTCTGGGCCATGGGGCAGACTGTGGTCCCTTTCCCTGAGTGAGATGGTTCAGGGGAGGGTTCTGACAAGGGGAGGAGGTGATCTGACTCAGGCGTTTCTGGGGAACCTTGGGAAGTACTGATGTGTGTCCCCCCCCTCTGCCTCCCTCCCACTCTCTGCCTTCTAGTGGCCTCTGAAGCTATAGCTTTCGGGTGAGTAGTTTGGCCTTGGAGGTGGTGGGGAAAGAGTGGGACATGAAAACCGGGAGGAGTTGGTTTCCCTTCCTGTGACCCCATAACCCTGTGACCCTGCGATCTCATCTCCTTTCCTCAGTATATACTACTGAAGAAGAGTCTGGAGCAGCAATTTCCAAATCTCCTGTACTTTGTAAGCGGGTTGATGGCTGGGGAGTGGGGACGTCAGCGCTTCCGACCCTCCAGGGCTTGGAGGGGAGCGCTCAGCCTCTCCCCATCCCAACATTCCTTCCCAGGACGAGGGGGTAGCCCAGGCCACAGGGGAGTTTGAAGTGTTTGTGGAAGGGAAACTGGTCCATTCCAAGAAGGTGATTCTGAACAAGGGGCCTGCACAGGGAAGGAGGGTGGGGCTGGGGGCCTGGGGGAGGGAGACATATCTGAGTCTTTCCCTTCCGTGCCCAGAATGGTGATGGCTTTGTGGATGATACCAGCCTTCAGAAAATTGTGAACGCTATAGATGAGGAGATCAGGAAAAGGTAGCAGGCAATGGTGGAGCTGGAGGTGAGTGAGATCCTGCAGAGGAGTTGGAGGGCTGGGTTTGGGGTGGCAGGTGAGCAGGACAGGGCCCCATCTAGGGTTCTAGCTCAGCTGGTCTGACTCAGCTGGTCCTCACTGCTGTAGTTACCTAAACTCTCCTCTGAGCCTCAGTTTTCTCATCTATAAAATGGCTCTGTTGAGGTGATTTCAAGAGATGCCTCCCATCAGGTAGCAAATAGTACTTGTTCCAAGTAGGGCTCAGTGGATGTCAAATATACTTCCCCCCCAAACAAAGAGCCTGCTTTTGTTGTTGTTGTTGTTGTTAGCTTTTAGTTGTAAAGCTGTGCTATCCAATAACAGCATCACTTGTAAATTTAAATTATTTAGAATTAACTACATTACAGATTCAGTTCCTGAGTTGTACTAGCTACATTTCAAGTGCTCAGCAGGCACATGTGTGGCTAGTTTATTGGGTTGGATTACAGGTACAGAACACAGAACTCATCCTGGCAGAAAGTTCTAATGGAAACATTGTTCTAATATATTAGTATAATGCACCATAATTTATTGGCCACCAATATTTGATTTTTCTGGGGGGGGGCACTGGGGATTGAACCCAGGAGCACTTTCCCACTGAGCTAAATCCCCAGCCCTTTTCATTTTTATTTTTTTTGAAACAGGGTCTTGTAAGTTACTGACAGCTTTGTTAAATTGCTGAGTCAGGCCTTGAACTTGTGAGTCTCCTGAGTTTCTGGGATTGTAAGCTTGCACCACCGTGCCCTGCTCCAATATTGGATTTTAATTTTATCTATGTATTTTTATGATACTGAGGATTGAGCCTAGGGCCTCACACAAGATAGGCAAGCACTCTACCACTGAGCTACATCCCCAGCCCCCAATACGGGATTAAAAAAAAATCTTGTGTTTTTTAATTTAATTACTTTTTGTTGTTATTGCTGAGCTGGGGATGGAACCCAGGGCCCTGTGCACACTAGGCAAGTGCTGTGCCATGGGACTACATCTCCACCCCCACAAGACTGGAAAATAAATAAATAATTATAAATATATATATATATATATTTTAGTTGCAGATAGACCTTTATTTTATTTATTTTTTTATATGTGGTGCTGAGAATCTAACCAGGGCCTCACACATGCTAGGCAAGCACTCCACCACTGAGCTACAACTCCAGCCCACAAAACTGGATTTTTAAAGGCACTTATTAGGGCTGGGGCTAAGGCTCTGTGGTAGAGCACTTGCTGTGCTAGGCCCTGGGTTTGGTTTTCAGCACCACATTAAAAAAAAAAAAAGTCTATTGACAACTAAAAAATTAAAAATAAAAAAATAAAGGCACTTATTATATACACCTTTGCAAGCTGCTACTGATTTGGTAGTTTGTCGTGCATGGACACAACGTATTGCTTACTTTCAACTTTACTGAGGTGTAAGCAATGAAGAAAACTAGTGTTTCAAGTGTACAAGTGTGAAGCCACCAAGAAATCAAAATAATAAACATATTTCAACTCCCACAAAAGTTTCCTCAGAAACTTCTGTCATTTTCCCCACCTTCTACCCCCATCCCAGGCCCCTAATTTGGCTTTCTGTCCCCATGGATTGGTTTGAATTTCTCTAGAGTTTTCTATAAATGCAGGCTGTACTTTAAAAATATATGTATATACTGGGGGCTGGGGATACAGCTCAGTTGGTGCACAAGCACAAGGCCCTGGGTTCAATTCCCAGCACGACAGAAAAAAAAAAAATTGGGTGAAAGTTTGACACACACCAAGAGAATCGTATAGTGAACTTACTGTACCCATCTCCCAAGTAACTGTTACTTTCTCTTGTCCATTTTATCAGTCTTCCCCTCCTCTTTTTTTTTCACTATAGTATTTTAAAGTATATTCCAGACCTCATGTTATTTCTGCTCTAAATTCTTCCACCTGCATCTTTAATAGGTAAGGTTTAAAGATGGAAATACAAGGCCATGATTACACCCAGAGAAAAGAAAAATAAATGTCTTAATGCCATCTAATATCTACTCAAGTGTCTCAAAAAGATCTTTTCACAGTGGTTTATGGACTCAGGACAAAGAAAAGATCTACATATTCTAATGGCTATTATAAATATTTAGTTGTAGGTGGACACACAATATCTTTATTTCATTTTTATGTGGTGCTGAGGATTGAACTCAGTGCCTCACGTGTGCTAGAAAAGCACTCTACCACTGAGCCACAATTCCAGCCCCTAATTGCTATTTTTTAAAAGAACATTTTTAGTTGTAGATGGACACCTCTATTTATTTATTTATTTTTATGTAGTGCTGAGGATTGAACCTAGGGCCTCACACTTGCCAGGCAAGCACTTTACCACTGAGCTACAGCCCCAGACCCATAATGGCTATTTTTAAACAATTATAAACAGGCTTTAAAAAGTTTCTACTATGTGCAGGGCTCTTGGTAGGTTCTTCTTTTGTGTGGGAGTGCGGAGGTACTGAGGATTGAACCCAGGGGCACTCAACCACTGAGCCACATCCCCAGTCCTTTTATGTAGTTTATTTACAGCAGGGTCTCACAAAAGAGTTGCTTAGCGCCTCTCTTTTGCTGAGGCTTTGAAATTGCAATCCTCCTGCCTCAGCCTCCAGAGCCTCTGGGGTTACAGGCCTGTGTCACCTCCCCGGCTTGGTAGGTTCTTGTTCTTTTTTTTTTTCCTGCCATATGGGGCGCGGGGAGGCAGGGGAGAGGTCTGTTTCTCACACCTACCAATATGATGCAGAATGTGGTGGTGATTATACATGCAGTTTCCAAGGTCACAGAGATTTAGGCTCAAATCCTGGGTCCACCAGCCACACCAGGCTGAAATTGGGTGAAGGATTTACCGAAGACCTCCTTCCATAAGTGACAGCTTCTGTTGTTGTTAGATCAGAACTGTTCTGATTGCAAGAGAAAACCCATCTTGAGCTGCCTGTAGGGGAAGCAAAAACATTGGCAATAGGAATAAAGGGTCAGGGTATAATTTTGTTGCACAGAGTGGGATCCAGGTACCCAAAGATCACCCCTGGGAACCTGACTCCTCCTGACTCTGGCTTCTGCATTTTTCTTTTAAACCAGGCTGTCTTTATTTTCAGGCAGGTTCCATTTCCTGGTGGCTTAAATCCTACAAAGCTTCCCATTGGGCTGGTTTAGGTCACAAGTCCATCCCTGAGCCAATGGGAGGGGGCTCAGGGGTGCTCTCTTGAGTCAAGTTCTCATTTTTGGAACTGGAGTGGAGCTGGTGCTGGGGTTTGAACCCAGGGCCTAGTGCATGCGAGGCAAGGACTCTACCAACTGAGCTATATCCCCTGCCCTCCCCTCTCTTTCAGCTTCCTTCTCTGTAAAACAGAAATTCCAATAGTCTTTCCCTGATTGGATTTATTTCTGCTCACCCAGTATTTGCTGTGTACCTTTGATGTGCTGCACACTGTCCTAGGCTCTGGAGATAAAGCAGTGAACAAAACAGATACCAATCCCCACGCTAGTGGGGAAGACAGCTACTGGAAAGGATGCAGAGGAGAATAGTGGGCATTTTATTTTTAATTTTTCCCATTTTTTATGGTCATAGTTGTACTCAGTGGTGGGATCCATTGTTATATATTCACAGCTGCACAGAATAACGATATAATCTGGCCAGTATCATTCCCTAGTAAGTTCCCGTTTCCATACCCCTTCTCTTCTTCTTACAAGACTCATTAAGAAGGTATCTGGACCATGTGGGCATCTCAGGAAATGTATTGTAGGCAGTGGGAACAGCAAGTACAAAGGTCCTGTGATAGGAGTGTGCTTGATGAGCTTGAAAAATAGCAGGACTAGAGTGGACACTGGAATACATGGAAAGCACTTTCCACACGAAGCCCTATATAATCACCATAATTTTAATGGAGTTATACGTTCCTGTTTTCAGTTTTTTCCTCTCTTCTTCTCAGGAGCCTCAGCAGGATGATGAGAAGGGCTGAAATGTTGTCAAGTCGGGTCCTGCTCTGATGGTGGCTGGGGTGGGGTGGGGTTGGGGAAGGGAGAGGGAAATACATACAAAGTGTGCCTCCCTGTGCTCTGGTCTGTGTCTGTTGTCCCTGAACCCACGTCTGAGGTCCGCGGAAGGAGCCCACTGCGTGTTCCTAGCATCTCCCAAGTCCTGAGCCCTGGTGTGGGGTTGGGGGAGAGGATGGCTTGGAATAAAGGCCACCCGGTGCTCCGCCGGGTGGAGCTCAGCTTCTCATGCTGCTGAGGCCGGATTCTTCTGTGACTTCATTTCCCAGGACCTTGTTCAAGATATACTTGGAAAACCTTCCATCTTATTGGCAGTTTTAGGGTTTGAGATGAGATAGGGATTGCATTCCAGGACCCACTTTCTAACCCACAAATCTTGGAATTGGGCAGGATTTGGGGAGCTGGGTAGGGCATTTGTGCATTCACTAGACAGTTATGGGCCCCCTCCTCTGCACCTGGCCTTGTGGGCTCACCAGGAGGTCAAGTGCACAGATGTGGGAGCCGGACTTTTCCAACCTGACCATCTAGCACCCTGCTGTGTGCCCTCCACCAGGGACATTGCCTCTCGGCCTCAATTTTCTCTTTCGTAAAATGGCTATTAGAACACGGACTCTTGGAATTTGATTACATATTAAATTATGCCTGGAAGTGATGGGTAGAGGGCATGACAGAACAAGTTCTGAGAAATTCGTTAGTAGGCAGTTTCGTTTTATGTGAACTCCAGAGTGTGCATACACACCTGTGTCCCCCCACACTCTGGGGATAGCCACCTGCCCCAGGCTGCATGCTACTGGCCTCAATACTATAGACAATGGTGACACAATGGTAAGTATCTATGTGTCTAAACATGTTGAAGCATAGAGAGAAGTACACTAAAAATACAGTATAAAAGTTTTAAAAATGGTGCGTCTGTCTAGGCATTTACCATGAAGGGAACTTGCAGGACTGGGAGCTGCTCTGGGTGAGCCGGGGAGCCATTGGTGAGTGGATGTGAAGGCCTGGACTCGAGTGGACCCAGCCGTAGACCAACACTGAGCACTTGGACCCACTAGATTTATTCTTTTTATTTTTAATTTATTAATTTTTTTTTTGGACTGGGGATTTGGCCCAGGAGCACTTTACCACTGAGCCACATTCCCAGCACCTTTTACTTTTTTTTGAGAAAAAGGAAAAAAAGGTTTTTTTGCTTTCCTAGCAAAGGAGAAACAGGGAACTCCTGTCCCAGAAGCTGTGATTCTGCCCATCAGCAGGCACAGGGGGCTTTCTAAAGAGGTTATTCAAAGGCTACATTTCACACATTCTCTGTCGAGTTGAAGTTCACTTGTTAACTTGGAGATGGTCATTTCTGAGGTCTTCTGGTGCCATCCTCCAAGTCTGGATTACTTGTTCCTATAGTGGGTGTGTGCTCAAGGACAGAAAACTGCCCAGGATGGGGAAGAAAGGTGATCCTGTTTCCCCTGAGATTAAGGAGGGGAAGAGACTAGGAAGGAACAGGGAGAGAAAAAGAGAAACATGTCCATTTTAAAAATAAGTTTCAGGGCTGGGGATGTGGCTCAAGCGGTAGTGCGTTCCCCTGGCATGCGCGGGGCGTTGGGTTCAATCCTCAGCACCACATACAAATAAAATAAAGATGTTGTGTCCACTGAAAACTAAAAAATAAATATTAAAAATCTCTCTCTCTTAAAAAAAAGTTAGTGTTATTTTCTATTTTGAAACAGGGTCTTGCTAAGTTGCTGAAGGCCTCACTGAATTGCTAAGGCTGGCCTTGAACTTGTGATCCTTCTATCTCAGCCTCCCAAATTGCTGGGATTACAGACTTGCAACACTGTGCCCAGCTACACTAGATTTATTTAAGCTTTTTCTTTCTTCAGTAATAAGCATTAGCTTATTGAAACTGTTTAAAAACTTTTTTTTATGAACTTTAAAATGTTTTAAACTTCTGTAATAACACTTGGCTTAAAATGCATACTGTACAGCTGTACTTATTGTCTTTCCTTCTATCCTTTTTCCCCATATACTAGAGCTTGAACCCCAGGAGTGCCCCAGCCCATTTAAATTTTTTGAGATGGTTTAAGTTGCCCAGGATGGCCTTGAACTTGTGGTCCTCCAACCGCAGCCTCCTGAGTAGCTGGGATTTCAGGTTTGTGCCACTGTATATAGTTGTATCCATATTCTATAAGTTGATGATGATGATGATGATTTGGTACTGGAGATTGAATTCAGGAGCACTCGACCACTGAGCCACATCCCCAGCCCTATTTTGTATTTTATTTAGAGACAGGGTCTCACTGAGTTGCTTTAGTGCCTTGTCATTGCTGAGGCTGGCTTGGACTTGCCATTCTCCTGCCTCAGCCTCCCGAGCCGCTGGAATTACAGGCATGTGCCACCGTGCCGGCAATGAGATTATTTTTAAAACTATTTTGTTCACACACATACCACACACACACCTCTAGGTCTATCCAGGGCCAGGATCATCAATGTCACTGTCTTATGCCTCTGCAGGTGGTCCTGCTGGAAGGTCTTCAGGGCAGTAGCAGGCTTGGTTCATGACAATGCCTGCTTCTGAAGTGCCTGAGTGAACATTCCTCTCCATTAATGAGTCTTTTGGAATTGCGGTTCATGGTTTTGGATTTTTAAAATTTTTTACATATTTTTCAGTTTTAGGTGGATACAATATCTTTTATTTTTATGAGGTGCTGAGAATCGAATCCAGTGCCCCACACACGCTAGGCGAGCACTCTACCACTGAGCCCCAGCCCCAGCCCCTGGTTTTGATTTTGTGAAGGCTCTTGTTGAGGTTGGCAGAGCTTCTGCTAAACCCTTCAGCGTGATTTTTCTTTTCTCTTAGAGTTCTCTTTTCTCTTGGCTCCTTCTCAGCTATGCATTCACTAAGTGATAGGATTTCTCAGCTCTTTATAAGCTTTCAAGGCCACCGTGGAAGTTGTAGCCTGTCTCCATGCTATGTGACATGTGGCTGTAGACTATAGAAAGCTCACGTGTGTGTGTGTGTGTGTGTGTGTGTGTGGTGGGGGGCTGGGGCTCAGTGGCAGAGCACGTGCCTAGCATGTGCGAGGCACTGGGTTCGATTCTTAGCACCACATATAAATAAATAAAGGTAAATTGACAACTAAAAAATTAAACAAAAAAGAAAGCAAGCTCCCAGGTGCCCATCACTCTCCAGCTATTGTTTTGAAACAAATATCAGACAATGTGCAGCGTTTTGAGGATGGTACAATCCTTTCCACTTTTGTGTATGCTGGAGATTTTCCTTAATAAAAGTTTTTGAAAAGGGGTCAGGGATATAGCTCAGTTGGTATAGTGCTTGCCTTGAAAAAAAAAAAAAACTTAGCTAAATGCCACAGCCCTTTTGGGTACCATGCTGCCTGGGCTGGGGTTTCTTCCTCACAAGCTGACCCAGATAAAGCTGCTACAAAGGGAAAGAAAGGCCACGGCAGTGGGGAGGTGGGATGTAGGGGCCCAGAGGCCAGAGCCCTATCCCAGATTGAGGGAGGATGGAGGAGGCAGCGGCCACCAGACCCTGGCCTCACTTCTGTGGGACCTGGAGGAAGGATGGAGTTTTACATCTTCCTGGCCACAGTCCTGGGCTGACCACTTGTACCCCATCAGGAGGGCTGGTTTGAGGGGAAGAGAGTGAGTTGAGTCTCAGCTTCAATTTTTACTTTGCCTGGTGAGGCAGAGGTCAGATGGCTCTTAGCTGTCTAAAGTGTTCAGGGCCATGAAAACGGAGTCCTTGAAAAAAAACTGTTTTTTCCTTTTGTACCAGGAATTGAACCCAGGGGTGCTTCACCACTGAGACTTCATTTTTAAATTTTTATGTGGTATTGGGGATTGGACCCAGGGCCTTGCGCAGTGTGGCAAGCACTCTGCCAACTGAGCTATATCCCCAGCCTGAGACTTTATTTTTTTTGATAAAGGATCTTGCAAAGTTGCTACTTCAGCCTCTGAGTTACTGGGATTACAGGCATGTGCCACCATGCCCAGCTCTTTTTTTCTTTCCCACACCCTTAGCATTTATTTTCTAGTAATACATTTCTAATTGGCTATTTTGTTACCCTAAGTAAGTGCTATGTTGTTTTTTTTAAATGATAGAAACTATATAAAACTACAGGAATCTAGAAGCATGCTGAAATAGAGTTGGTGCTCAATACATAAACACTTGTTCAGTCAGTTTCATTGAATGTAAAGGACTGAGTCAGGTAACTCATGCTGTCTATATTAGATCTTCTATCCAGACACATCAGACTCTTTTCAGGGTATTATGGTGGACCTCAAAGTTAATCTTCAAGGAAGATGCTCAAGTCTAGAATCCTCATCCCATGGTCACTGTACACCTTGCTCCACGGTCCATCCTTTGGTCTCAGGGTGAACTGTGCGATTCCTTAAGGGGGTCTTAGAAATTGTGACCAGGTGTCCCAGGAAATGCCTGGGGGGCAGCCTAAAGCCACCTATTCTTTTGAATGGACAACTGTCATCTGAAAAAAGAGACAAATTGGTACAATACTTACAGATAGCAGTTAAGATGGAAAATGAAGAAACAGAGAATGCTGGAGCTGTCAAATCCAGTTCTGGAATACACTTTCAGTGACTCCAGTTTCCTTGCTTAGGGTCCCCGGAGATGGGTTTGTCATTTGCAGCAACAAAGTTCCAATTGATAGGAAATCACCTAAAAAGATGATTGCCTCACACACAACATACCATGACACAGGACTGTGGTAAAGGAGCAGGTTGTGCTTGGTAGACACGTGGCCAGTGTCAGGAAGACTGTGGCAATGGTGGTAGTGAGGCAGACAGGCTAGGCCTGCCATTTCAGGACCCATGTTTAACCCTTTTATTGGGGAGAAGCCATTCAAATGAAGCAAGGGGTCAGGTTTCAGGGGGTGGAGTCTAGCTTTGTGATGTCTGATGTCAGCTGACTGACATCTAGGGAGGCCATGCCCATCTCATGAGCTGTGTGGGGGTCATGGCAGAGCAAGTAAAAAGACCAGAGCGAGGCCTCCCAAACAGAGGGGCAATGTGGGTTCAGTCCACTTTGTGTG